CAGGAACTGGGGCCTCCTTGGCCTCCTTGACACTGCTAAGACAGTGTATGAATTTATCAAGTTCATAAACCCCTGCTGGCATGTCATCAATAGCTCCTATTGCTTTAGCCCACGTGCACTCCCGGGCAGTATGCATGTGTGCAGCTCCCCAGTGGGAGGAGATGTGCGGGCAGGAGGGACTCGTGCCCTGCCTGCCACACCTGGCTGGACAGAAAGGGCAGAGTGAAAGGGATTGTCACTGACCTGGTGTTGATTTGTGTTTTTCCATTTCATTTTTATTTTATTTTATTTTTTAATATATTTTATTGATTTTTTTACAGAGAGGAAGGGAGAGAGATAGAGAGCTAGAAACGTTGATGAGAGAGAAACATCGACCAGCTGCCTCTTGCACACCCCCTACCGGGGATGTGCCCGCAACCAATGTACATGCCCTTGACCGGAATTGAACCTGGGACCTTTCAGTTCGCAGACCGACGCTCTATCCACTGAGTCAAACCAGCTTCGGCTGTTTTTCCATTTCAAAAAGACTTCTAAAAGTTAAGTCCAAACAACAGCAGACAGACCCTAGCTGTGACCCTAACACGCCCCCGGCAGCTGTGTGTTAACCGAGGGCGCAGAGCAGTGGCCTGTGTCCTGGTAGAGCTCTGCCTCGTCCTCCTGTCTTTTAAGAGACTGCTCTGTTTTTACTAAGAAGGAGAATGGAAATGTGCGGGGCAACACTTGTCTTTATAAACACTCCATTTTAGCAAGTAGTGAGCCCACGGCAGCAGCAGCCCATGTCAGATGCTCTATAGACTACAGGTGAGGGTGTCATGACTGTCACAGTCCAAATACCCCAGGAACAGTGACTGTGCCAGTGCTAGGTTGTATGATAACTGAGGCCAGACTGAGTCCCTGACCTTCAGTGTCATTCTTTATACAGTGAACAAGACGTCCCGCCAACCCAGTGAGACAGGACGGACGTCCCACCAACCCAGTGAGAAGGGACGGACGTCCCGCCAACCCAGTGAGAAGGGACGGACGTCCCGCTAACCGCAGTGAGACAGGATGGACGTCCCACCAACCCAGTGAGACAGGACGGACGTCCCGCCAACCCAGTGAGAAGGGACGGACGTCCCGCTAACCGCAGTGAGACAGGACGGACGTCCCACCAACCCAGTGAGACAGGACGGACGTCCTGCCAACCCAGTGAGACAGGACGGACGTCCCGCCAATCCAGTGAGAAGGGACGGACATCTCGCCAACCCAGTGAGAAGGGACAGACGTCCCGCCAACCCAGTGAGAAGGGACGGACGTCCCGCCAACCCAGTGAGATAGGACAGAGCCCAGAAACAGTGCCTGGAGCTCACAGGTGGGGGCAACACAGGTCTTTCGTGCAGCTTAATCAAGTCAAGAAGACCGATGTCTGGTCACCCCGGTCCTGTTCGGCCAGCAGGGCTTTTCTGGCCGTTCTCCTATTTCATTTTTAGATGTTCTTCGCTATGAAATCAACTCTTACACATTTCCTACTTGATGTGTTTTACCATATTACATATTTGCCCCACCTTAGTCCCTGCAAGTTGTGTGCTGAGTCCTTTACTTTGTAATGAAATGTTTGTAAAACTTGCCTAAGGTGTTTGATTTTACTTGCAGAGAACTCTCTGATCCATTTTCAAATTGTTACTCCAGCTTTTCTTACCTTTCACCACCTTTAATCAATTTAAGTAATTTTTCATGGTTATCGCCATAAATTTGTTTTTTTAGTATCAAATATTTGTGATAGTGAAAATGAATGCAGAGCACTAGCTGGTTTGGCTCAGTGGATAGAGAGTCAGGCTGTGTACTGAAAGGTCCCAGGTTCAATTCTGATCAAGGGCACATGCCTGGGTTGCGGGCTTGATCCCCATTTGAGAGCATGCAGGAGGCAGCCAATCAATGATTATCTCTCATCATTGATATTTCTCTCTCTCTCCCCTCCTCTGTGAAATAAATAAAAATATATATTTTAAAAAAATAAAATGAAAAGGAATATGTGTAGAGGTGTTTTGACATTACAAAAAGGACCCTGTTAACTTTCATGGTTTCTTAAAATTTGTATTTTTTTGTGAAACTTAGACGAAACATAGGGTTAATGAAGAAGTTAATGTTCCCTGTTGCATTTAAGATAAGAGCTTTGACATTTCTGCAAAAGTATTGGGACTGGGTGGTCCAGAGCTAGTATTGCCAGATTTAGTACACAAATATGTTTCACCTAGTTAAATTTGACTTCAGATAACAATGCGCTTTTAAATATAGACATGTCCTATGCAGTATTTTATACTCTGAATAGAGCAATATTTGGGACATACTTACACTAAAAACTTAATTGGTATATGTCTGAAATTCAGACTTACCAGGTGTGTGGTGCTCCCTCAGGCCACGCAGGGTCCTCCTCACATCGGCCTCCATGTCATCTTCCATTTGTTGAGATGCTTTTCCACAGTGACTTCCATCTTGGCATTCCTTCCTTGATATACACTCTTAGGCCAAAATCACTTTTTATTTATTTATATATATTTTATTGATTTTTTTACAGAGAGGAAGGGAGAGGAACAGTTAGAAACATCAATGAGAGAAAACACCGATCAGCTGTCTCTTGCACCCCTCCTACTGGGGATGTGCCTGCAACCAAGGTACATGCCTTTGACTGGAATCGAACCTGGTACCTTTCATTTCACAGGCTGATGCAAAACTGGCTAGGGCCTAAATCACTTTTGTATCTTCTTTCTTCTTCCCTATTCTCTCCTACCCTTTTTTTTGGAAAGAGGACAAATAATCTAGGATATTTAAGTAATGTGTGATTAGTTCTCACACTACATTTACACTGTGAAATATCAGAGGGAATAAATACCCTATATTGAAACTTTGTAAAGATAATGTAAAAGAAGAATGTAAAGATGGCATTAATTGCCCACAGGTAGTTTAATATATTAGTGACCTGCATACAATAAATGTTCTTGTAAACATGGTTTTGGAGGAGACAAATGCTAGGAGGTGGTGGGGGATACTGTTTCCTGAGTGAAGAGGTGTGGCCCCGCCCGGTGAGCAGGGCCCTATCCCCAGGGGCGCTGCATCCTCCGCTGTACAGTGGGGGGTAAATCCATGAGGGTGCCAAGACTTCAGGGATGGTACCTGGAAGCCAGAAGGAATAATGGAGTAAGTGCACCAAAATGTTTTTCAGAAAGCATGTCTTTAAGATGCTAATAGTTGTGACGTATTATGGGTAAGTTTCAGCACTATGTCTGTTAAGTTTGACTTTGTAAAATACCAATATAATTGGCTGTGAAGATGGGAAGGTAGGACTCAGTGCTTCATCCAGGAAGCTCGTGTTTTCCTGCACTGCAGGAGGGCATGGTTCCTGTGGCCTTACTTGGGTCGCCAGATCAAGGGAGCAGAGAGGTTTCCACGAATTAGGTGCGTGGCCAATGATCCTATTTCTTTCTGTCCAGCAGTTAACCAGGGCGTCTTCATCTTCTGAGCCAAATCCTGCTCTGCAGGATCTACTCCCTGAGCACCCCTGGCACAGCCAGCCAGAGTTAAGGAATTGGCTACTTTCTGCTGGTTCAGAAGGTGGTTATCAGGGTGTGAAGGGAGGTTTTAAAGTGCCACCAGGTGTCACCGCTCAATGGGTAAGACACAGCCCAGTTAAAAAGCTCTGCTCTAGACCCTGAGAGGCTTGCACTGATGCCGTGGGTCTGCATGGCCAAAGGTCCTGGATGGCTTTTTTGCTGTCCGTGGGCATGTCATCCAGGTGGTGGCCCTCCCTCCTATACTGGCCAGAGGTCCCAACCACGGGCCCTTTCTCAGCACTTCCGTAGGACAGAGCTTCTGGGGTACACATCGTGAGAGAAGGTCTGTGCTCCGTGTGTGCAGGTGCTGGCGAGTGGGTGTTAAAGGGACATCTTGTGGAGATGCTGTGGTCTTGCTGTCCGGGGATGTATTGGGAACTTCCCACATTGCTCTGATTTACCATTTCAGTCCAAGTAACATTTATCCTCCTCATTCACAGCACCTTTTACTTAAAGACAGGCTGACTTTTTCAGAAAACACCATTATAGTCTTAACTTTAACTACAGAATAGTTGTATGATCAAATTTTGGGGGTAAAATTTTAGAAATTTGGATTTACAATTTTATGCTGCTTTATCTTTATCTCAAAATACATTTTTACTTAATATAGAACTTCAGGTCTTTCAAGTAAACAGTGGCATTAGATCTTATTAGTTATATGTCATAAAACTTACAATTTACTACTGATCCCATGTCATAGAGGTTTCCAGTGGCTGGTTGGCTGTGTGCATGAGAATCTGGTGCACCGCGCACAGTGCTCACTGGGACCCGGCGATGAAGGATGGCCCTGTGACGAGGGGGAGTGGCTGGCGGGCAGTTGGAGAGAAGCTTTGTGAAGGAAGTTAGTCTACTTGCCCTGGCCATTTGGCTTCAGTGGATTGAGCCCAGTCCTCGGACTGAAGGATCCTGGGTTTGATTCCGGGCAGGGGTACATCCCTCAGTTGCAGGTTAAATCCCCAGCACTGGTAGGGGCATTGCAGGGATTGGGGGGGGGGGGTGGCAACCACTTGATGGCTCTCTCCCATAACAGTGTTTCTCTCTGTCTCTGCTTCCCTTCCACTCTCTAAAAATCAATGGGAAAAATAGCCTGGGATGAGGATTTTTAAAATATTTTTAAAAAGAAAGACCTAAGACATGTGGAACTGCTGAGGGAAGTAGACCTACCTCCAGAGCTGAGACAGAGACACACTTCCTTCTTGCCTTCCTCATCCTTCTTTGAAACCAGCGTTTGCATTAACGTCTCGCTCTCTCTGTTGGCAGATAACTGACTGCTTTGTACCTAATGCTCATTCTTGTGATCGCAGAATGAGACCTTCCTGTGACCTGATCTGGTGGTCTCGGCCAGGTCACGATCGCCAAGCCACATGCTCTTGGAGCCCTTTGACTTCTGACCGGTGGCCCTCTTCTGTGCAGGTCATCACCAATCTGGTGAAGATGTTGAAGTCCAGAGACACGAGGAGAAACTTCTGCCCCCCAAACCACTGGCTGTCAGAGCAGGAAGACATCAGAGCAGATAAGGTGTTACTAGAGGCCTTTGAGCATTTGTCCTTTAGACCCGTTTATTTATTATTAGGCAACTGAACAGTAACGTGAATGTGCTCATTGTAACTCTTAGGTCATTGATGGATATAGAGCATTTTCATTGACTGAAACATGCATTCTGAGTTTATTAATTTTAATTTGCTCTTTCAGCCATAAATTGTGTTGAACCTAGGTGATTCTCTGTTGGGGTGGAAGAAGATTTTGCTTTTATTGGTGTCATTGGTATAGATTTAGGATTTAGAGGAAATGGAGCTCGTCCTTGGTTTTCTAAAGGAACAGACAAATTTGAATATCAGTGACATTTAGATCGAAAGTAGATTCAATACTATAGTTTAAAAAATTAAGTAACATTAACGAAGGACATGCGATGTCATTTTTGTCAGGAAAAGGCATGACTAGGTTCGTTTCAGAATCTTGGGGATGGAGGACACGGAGTTACAAGGAGCACTGAAACACTGAAGAAAATGGTCTTTGGAACAGTTTCACAAGCATGCCTCTGCCTGCTCACTAAGTTACCCCCGTGGCTTCTGGCTCTGCCCACAGGTGGAGACCATGACAGTTCCTATACCAGTGAGCACAGCCAGGGCCCAGGGTGGAGCTCAGAACAGCATCTCCCCCCGGCGGTCGGTCCTAGGTCTGGGAAGCTCTGGACAAGATGGTGCTTTGTCGCTGGAGGGTTGAGCAGTGCAGAATGTGGTGTTGGAAAGCCAAAGGCCAGCGGAGGGTCTCCCTCAGGCGGGGGGCGGGGGGAGGGGAATAGCAAGCATCACTCAGAACAGGTGCAGTCTGCCAGATAGCAGGTGCGCTGAGCCTGCGAGCTCCTGAGCCTAAGAGGAAAAGAGCTGCACCGGCCGCTGGTAGACGAGACGGACCGCCCCACTGTTTTTGTTGTTCCTGCTAATCCTCACCAGAGGGTATCTTTTTCATTGATTTTTAGAGAAAGGGGGGGGAGGGAAGGAGAGAGGGAGGAGCAGCCGTATGGGTGATGGTTAGTGTGTCCCGGTGTTACACATCAGCAAATGGAACAAGCAGAGATCTCCCTGGGATGTTAGAGAAAACAGTCACACAGTAAGTGTGCAAGGGCATGAACAGGTTGTCTGAAAAGGACATGAGGTCAGAGAGGGACCTAGCAAACTCCAGTAAACATAAACGTACACCAGCTCACATGGGATGGGAAAGGGGGGGACCAGCTCACAGCAGTACTAAGCAGGGGTGCTGATCCCCTAGGTCACTCAGCTGTACGTGCCAGCTGCCAGACATGTGTGGAGGTTCCGGCGGATGGGGAGGATCGGCCCCCTGCAGTCCACCCTGGATGGTGAGCGCCCTTTAACCTCAGGCCGAGGAGAGTTGTTCACAGGCCATGGCACTCATCTTTTCCATGTCCTGGTCTGTGATTTTTGTTGAACATGTACCACCAACCACCTCAAGCTCCTTCGTAGCCCAGCCCCAACCCCTTCCCTGCCCTAGCAGCCTCTCGTTCCTGGTGGTTCCATAGTTCTGCCCTTTCTGGATGGAACATCTGGAAGTTGAGCCATTCAGTGCATATCCTTAGGAGTCTGGACAGGGAGGGTACGCCTGCCTAACAAAGGTTTGCACTGTGTTGCAGTGGGTTTGGAGTCGCCTCCCCTGTCTGTATCTGAGGAGAGACAGCTTGCCATCCTGACAGAGCTGCCCTTTGTGGTTCCATTTGAAGAGCGGGTAAAGGTAGGCCAACTTCTCCAGGAGAGCGTGTAGTATTTCCTATCATTTCAGTGTGAAAAATGAACACCAACCACAGTCTCTGAAGTGGCCTAGTGCCCAGCTAATAGTATAATTTATATTTTTTAGATTGTAATAGTTAACAGCAATTTATAAATGTGTAATCCAACCAGATATGTCTTTATAAATTTGAAATATTTTTTCTTTAGTTGTAGCTACTTAAAAGGCCTGTTAGGCTATCATCCTATATAATAAAGAGCTAATATGCAAATGGTTGTTACATTTTCATGCAATAACAGCTCAGACACTCAATACCGGGGAGAAAGGAATGGGGACTAACCAGGCTGCAGCCAAGGAGAGAATCAAGTTGCACACCCACGGTCCCAGGTGCCAGCAGGTGGGGCTGCGGCCCAGGAGAGGGACAAGCCATCTGCCCCGTGGTCCTGGGTGCCAGCAGCTGTGCCTTGGCCCAGGAGAGGGACAACATGCACAGTCCCTGCAATCCCGGGTACCAGCAGCTGGGGCTGTGGCCCAGGAGAGAGACAACCGGCCAGGGCAAAGCCAGCCCCGGTCCCGGGTGCCTGCGACCGGCCAGAGGAGGGAATCCTGGATCCTGGGCCGGGCAATGCAGAGGTGGTTAGGGGAGATCAAGCTGGCAAGGGTGCAGTTAGGGGTGATCAGGCAGGCAGGCAGAGGAGTTAGGGGAGATCAGGCAGGCAGGCAAGTGGTTAGGAGCCAGCAGCCCAGATTGTGAGAGGCAGGTGGACATCCCCCAAGAAGTCCCAGATTGGAGAGGGACCCCCCATCCTGTGTGCAAATTCTGCGCACCAGGCCTCTAGTCTATATGTAATAAAAGCCTAAGTGACCATCTGACCAGTATCTATGATGTACAGTGACCGCCAGGGGGCAGACGCTCAACGCAGGAGCTGCCAAATGGTTCTCAGGTAACACAACCAGAGAGGAGGGAGCCAGATTCTGGGTGCATCAACCGAGAACTGCCCTCAAAATCCAGACTCCTGTGGGGATGTTGGAGAGCCAATTTTGGCCCCATCCTTGCAGGCCAGACGGAGGCACGAATCTGGGCACCAGCCTCTAGTTTTCTTACACAGGGAGCCCTAAGGCGCTCTTTGTCTAGTCAGTGATGCATTATTTTTTAAAACAATTTTTTAAAGCCACATTTCTGTACATGGTGTTATAGAGATGTGCACTTTGTATCTTGTGGTGGTTGGCTAATGCACAGAACTTGTTCACACTGGCATGTTTTCGGAGACTCTGCTGCCTGCTCTCGGAGGTAAACAGAATGTGTTTTCTGCTTCTCAGGGAGCCTTGCATGCCTGCCGCCAGTACATGGCTCCTGAGCTCCCTCTGCTGGAGCTCTGCCTAAAAGAACCGCTTACATTTTCTCATTATGGAGATCTTACCCTGTTTCCCTGAAAATAAGACAGTGTCTTATATTAATTTTTTCTCCCAAAGTTGCGCTAGGTCTTATTTTCAGGGGATGTCTTATCTTTCCATGTGCTAGGTCTTATTTTCGGGGGATGTCTTATTTTCGGGGAAACACAGTACTAACATTCATATACAGCTGTGCGAAGCTGTTCTTCACCACCTGGATTTTTATGAAGGGTTTACAAAAGAAAATACTGAATATATACTATAGGATTGCATTTTTTAAATTTGTTATAAAATGGGGGAAAGGAGCAGTGTTGGAGATGCATAAATACTACCTTTTGTAGATAATGGCATAAAATCAATATTTGCTACCTTTGCCTTTAAAATTGGTTTTAGACTTATGGGAATACAAAAGTTAAGATTTACTTAGCAATTTTATTTGCTAATGTTTATAACAGAAATTCTGTTTTATCAAATAATCTTATGCTTTTCCCTGTGTGTTAGATCTTTCAAAGATTGATTTATGCAGACAAGCAAGAAGTTCAAGGAGATGGCCCATTTCTGGATGGAATTAATGTCACAATAAGAAGGAATTATATTTATGAGGATGCTTATGACAAACTTTCCCCAGAAAATGGTACGTATGTTTCTCTTGTGTCATGTATGCATGTGGCAGGGGGCTGGGAGTCATTTTAGAAAAAGCTAATCATTTAAAAACGAGTGTCCATCATCTTGTCCTGCAGTGACTACTTAAAACTGAAATGTAGGGTTCACAATTGGGAGGTGCATCTGATCCAGTAAGATTGCTGGGACTAACAAATAATGATTGCTACACAAGCCTTTCAGATACTGAGTAGGCCTCTCGGTTCCCCTCTCCACTCTCCCCCAGTGTCTGTCTCTAAAACGGAGCCGACGACCTGTAATCTCAGCAGTGGGAGGGCAGCCGTGTACAGTCTGCATTTCGTATACAATTACCAGTTTATATAAATGCCGCCCATTGTCAGACAAATGGAATGCACTAGGATAAAAACCATAGCAATCCAGACTTCTAAAGAATAGTGTGATTTAATGGCAGTTCTGTCTGATAAAGGGGATTACATGTACCAACGATTTGGGCAGCATGTAGAGGTCAGTGACACATTTTCTCTTGGTTTAGTGTTTGACACCCAGGGTTAAAACTTTTGGTATTAATTTATATATGAATCATTTTAGCTTCCGAATGTGGAGTCCATGATACTGCATTAACCAATGTTAAATCGGTGCAGGCTGTTGAAAAGGAACGCTGGCAGGACTCAGTCACAGGTCCAGTGGGAAATGACAGCACCTTTTCTTAGGAGGAGCAAGTTAATTCTCTGCCAGGAAAGCAGAACCTCTCATCTGAGTGGTTTTCTGTTTGCTTGTTTTTGGTTTCTGCTTTTCCGTAAAGAGCGAGCTGGGGTTGTCCTGTGGGAACAGTGAGGTGGGTCACATCGCAGGCCCTGGGCTCTGGCCCAGGCGCTGCGTGCAAGGGCACTGGGTGTCATTCCCCTTCTCATTTAGTCTGGGCCGCAGTCCTCGGGCCGGACGCCAGGAGCTGAGATGGGTCACTCTTGCCTGGGCAATTACGTTCGTAAGATGTTATGTAACATGAGTCTTCGAATCACATGCTTTGGGGAGAAATAGTTCTTCCTCCTTTTGGGACCCACAGGCTGTTGTGAGTCCATTGTGGTGGTTGTCACATCATATTCCCAGTCCAAGCCACTGAGTTCTGGGGAGGAACCTTACCCTGGCTCCGCACACTGCTGGCGGCAGTGGATGTGGCTGGATTTGGGGTTGAGCCTGGGGAGAAGACCATAGACATGGTGCAGAGCAGAGCTGAGAGGAGGATGGTGGCGGGCTTTATGAAGAGGAGGGACTTCATCTAGGATTCAGGGACAGGAGACAGGTCTACAGGTGAAGGTATAGCGAGGCTAGGCAGCCAGGCCACCGAGTCTGCTCATGGTTGACGTGGGCTTCCTGCAGGTGCAGCCCGTGTGAGCGCTTCACCCCAAATCAGTCTGTGCTTACCATGAGTTCAGCTTTACAACCACTTCTTGTAGGTGATTTTTTTAAGACATTGCTATTGCCCAATTATAGCAAACCCAAATTATCTACTGTGTCCTTAAACTTAGAAATTATTCAAAGTTGATGATATTCCACCTCCTAAGTGCAGGCCAATAATTGCATTCAGTTTAATGGATTAGGAAAAATCCTCCCATAATATGTGTAATATGCATTATATAATGCTTTAAATCTTTACAAATGTTCCTAATTCTTATTAGTACAAAATTTTAAACCATGTGTTAAAATTATTTAGTATTTTACTAGGCAAATTAGTAAAATTAAATTTTATCTTAGAATGTTTAATTTTTTAGTGAATCAGTTTCAAGTGCTCTGTTGACTAATCATTTGCATATAATCAGTTAATATGATTATCCTATATATCACCTAGTCATTATTTATTTATTTATTTATTTTTAAGAATAACAAAAAATACTTTACTAAAACATAAGATTTACAGAAGTTTCCAGACAAGCCATACAACATGGTCACAAGCTTTTCTTGAAGGGGGGATTCTACATTTGACAGCTATCATCTAGTCATTAAAACAGATCCATCCTTCTCAGGACAGTTTTCTGCAGTGTGGGTTCCAGCCCCTGTCCCCTGCAGGTTGGCAGGAGCTCGGAGAAGTGGAGTGGCTTCCCTCCACAGTTGGGCACTGAGCAAATAGTGTCACAGGTCCTGGCCCGGGGACCTCATTGCAGCCCTTCCCACGGGAACAGTGTGGGCTGGGCCTTGTCCATGGGTAATCTGGGGACTGTTCTGAGAGTCGGAATGGCATCACAGTGGCTTCTGACGTCCTCGTTGTCATGGTGACGGTGGCTGGGGCAGGCTGACCTGTGCCATGTCTTCTCCCAAGAGCCTCGCTTACCCCAGCTTTCTAGTATTACCTCCTTTACTGGGCTCAATTTATTACACTGTTTTCCTGAAGAGGAAAGAATACGAAGATAAAATCAAAGTATCCGCTCACTGAGTCTTTCCTCACTGAAACCTTCCTGTGTACGTAGATACTCCAATTTGTCCTTAGGAACATGTAGTGCACATGAAGGCACTGCCTTCTGAGCACATGCTGGGCTGTGGTCTTGCTGTTCACAGAGGTGACAGGAGCCACAGACTTCACTCAGCCTGTTAGGCGACGTGTGTGGATGGCACCGTGTTTCAGAGACAGTGACCTCCTTAAGACAGCGTCCTGTAGCGTGAATCTTAGTCCCACAGCACAAGGTAGATAGTGGTTGAACATTTCCTACCTACAAAATTTTTACACTTAGAAATTTTACCAAAAAATCTGCTGACAATGATAATGATCTTGAGAAATATTATCTATGACACATCCTCATAATACCCAGATAAAGAATGAAATAGTTCATCCCTGTTTAAAGTGTATTTTTATTTTTTAAATATATTTGTACTGGAGGCCCAGTGCACGAATTCATGCACAGGTGGGGTTCCTTGGCCTGGCCTTCAATTGGGGCTGATTAGGGAGGAAGGAGGATTCCCTGCTGGCCTGGGGAGGAACCCTGGGAGGTTGGCTAGCTGCGAGAGGTTGGCTGTGAAAGTGTTCTGTGGGTGCCAGGGAACAGCTCCTGCTTTGAGCATCTGTCCCCTTGTGGTCAGTGCAAGTCATAGCGACCGGTTATTCAGTTGACTGGTGGTAACAGTCACTTAGGCTTTTATATATATACTAGAGGCCTGGTGCACAAAATTCCTGCACGGGGGGAGGGAGTCCCTCAGCCCAGCCTGCACCCTCTCCAATCTGGGACCCCTCAAGAAATGTTAAACTGCCCACAGGGATAGGTTCTAAACGGGCAGTCGGACATCCCTCTCACAATCCAGAACTGCTGGCTCCCAACTGCTCACCTGCCTGCCTTCCTGATTGCCCCTACCGTTTCTGCCATCCTGATCACCCCCTAACCACTGATGTCTAACTGCTTCCCTGCCAGCTCGTTTGCCCCCAACTTCTCTCTTCTGCAGGCCTGGTCACCCTATCTGCCCTCCCCTACAGGCTTGATACCCTCCAACTGCCCTCTCTTGCAGGCCTGGTGCCTCCCAACTGCCCTTCCCTGCTGGCCATTTTGTTGTGGCCATCTTGTGTCCACATAAGGGCAGAATCTTTGACCACATGGGGGCAGCTATTGTGGGTTGGAGTGATTGTCAATCTGCATATTACTCTTTTATTAGATAGGATAGAGGCTCGGTGCATGGGTGGGGGCCAGCTGGTTTGACCTGAATAAGGGTGCCCTGGATCAGAGTGGGGTTCCCTTGGGGTGTGGGGTGGCCTGAGCAAGGGACATGTGGTGGTTTGCAGGCCAGCCACGCCCCCCAGTGACCCAAGCAGAGGCCCTGTTATCTGGAATTTATTTACCTTCTACAATTGAAACTGTAGCCTGGAGTGGAGCCAAGCCCGCTGCTCACTAGGCTGTCGCCATTTCTGTTTGGTTTTATGTATCTTCTGTAATTGAAACTTTGTAGCCTTGAATGGAGGCCTGGGCCAGCCACGGCAGGTGGAAAGCTTTGCTTCCTCCATTGCATGGGACAACCCTAGCCTGTTCTCTCCAGCTCCGTGGCTGGTGGCTGTCGCCATTTTTCTTGGGATTTATCTTCTTTAATTGAAACTTTGTATCCTTGAGTGGAGGTCTAGGCTGGCCAGGGTGTGTGGAAAGCTTGGCTTCCTCTACTGAAACCCAAGCCTCTCAACTGTTCTCTGTGGCTGCAGCCATCTTGGTTGGGGTTAATTTGCATAATCACTCTGATTGGCTGGTGGGTGTGGCTTGAGAATACTGATGGTTAATTTGTGTTACTTTTTTATTAGATAGGATAGATTGGCTTCAGAGAGGAAGGGAGGGAGAGAGAGAAAGAAGAGAGAGAAAAAAAAATCACTGAATCTGAGCAGCTGCCTCCTGCACATTTCCTTCTGGGGATCAAGCTTACAACCCTGGCACATGCCCTGACTGGGAATTGAACCGTGACCTCCTGGAACATTGGTTGACGCTCAATCACTGAGCATGCCGGCCAGGCTAGCCCACCCTTTGCTGGGTATTATGAGAACGTGTAAAGGCGAGCAGCTTTGTGCGGCAGCTGTGGTTATCTGTTTTGGTTGTTTTCGACATTTCACTAGAACTGGAGATTGGACATATTTTATAATCATATCCATCAAAATACTAGAAACAAATAACTATTTGTGGAACTTGACCGTCAGTGGAGTGAAATTTTAAAACTGAAAGAATGTGTTTGAGTAGAGAAGAAGCAGGTGCATCTCCAAGGCCGGCCTGTGTGCTCGCCTGGTGCCAGGCAGTCCACCGGCCAGTGGTCGTCTCACTGCAGAACTGAGATTCTGACCCCAGAGTGGTTAGAGGAGCAGAAGTGCCGGAATCTAGCTCGGGCTCAGCGCGGGCTCCTTTGTGGAGTGTGGGGGGTGGTTTGGGTTCGTCTTCCGCGGGGTCGTGCGGGCTTTAAGAAGAGATTGCCTGGCTCCCCTGGTGCAGCTGTGGTCCCTGCTGTGGGGTTAGCCCAGTGGTCGGCAAACTCATTAGTCAAAAAGAGCCAAGTACCAACAGGACAACGATTGAAATTTCTTTTGAGAGACAAATTTTTTAAACAACTTCTAACGCCACTTCTTCAAAATAGTCTCACTCAGGCCGTGGTATTTTGTGGAAGAGCCACATTCAAGGGGCCAAAGAGCTGCATGTGGCTCAGGAGCCGCAGTTTGCCAACCAGGGGGTTTGGTGACTGTTCAGTGAGACTGTGCTGTGTGTGAGGGCCCAGATTGTAGGCTACACTGGAAGTTGTATTCAAAACACTGGAACATTTCACACCAGGTTCTTTGATTTCCTGTGTATCCTGGGGTGGGAGGCTCTCGTCCGTATGTCGCGCTCCCACCTCTCTGCCCAGCACCTGGAGAGCGCAGGACGAGGAGGGAAGGGCTTGTGCCAGGATGCGCTTAGTCACTCCGATTGGCTGGTGGGCGTGGCTTGAGATTGGGTGCCAGGACGCTGGTGCCAGATGGAAGCTTGCTGTGCTCATGGTGGCCTGCCGGGATGCGTTAGTCCTCCCCAGGTGGTGCTATCCCCAGGAGACCTGTGTGTGTGGGTGGGAGGGGGGAGGGTTTCCTCTCATTCCATCCCAGAAATGTCTTCCTTTTCAGCCAAGTGTCCGTTTTAAATGGTGGTGTGGATTCTGGTGATCTACCCCCCTGTGGCATTGGCCTTGGTCACAGGGTCGTTCATTTCGCAGCTGTCTTTATTCATTTACTTTTTGGCCTTCTTGCTAATAATCTCTGATCCCATGTTGTCCTCGTGTCCTAATTCGCCTCCCTCCTCTTGGGGCATCTTTGTTTGCATTGCCCCAGGAACAAGCTGGTGGCTCTGATTCCTCATCTCCCCATCTGAAGCCCCAGCTCCGCTGTGGATGCAGGGCACTGACCTCCTCCTCGTTGAGGGCTCGGGGACACGGTGTAGATCCCTGCACTCACGCGCCTCTGTTGTTCTTGCTGCTCCCGCCCAGAGCCTGACCTGAAGAAGCGCATCCGCGTCCACCTGCTCAACGCGCACGGCCTGGACGAAGCCGGCATCGACGGCGGCGGCATCTTCCGGGAGTTTCTGAACGAGCTGCTGAAGTCGGGCTTCAACCCTAACCAGGGCTTCTTCAAGACGACGAATGAGGGCCTCCTGTACCCCAACCCGGCTGCGCAAATGCTCGTGGGGGACTCCTTCGCCCGACATTACTACTTCCTCGGCAGAATGCTTGGAAAGGTAACATGGCTCGCGGGGACAGTCTCCAACCAGGGAGTGACCTTCTATACGTCTGGGTGGTGGCCGGTGGTTTCCTGGAGACCTTTATTCAGAACTCTTACGTGATTTGGTGAGCCCTGAAGAGCACTTTCCACTAATAACTAAAGCTCATCTATATACTTGACATACACAGTAGTTAGGTATAGGGGAATTGCTGGGATGGTGCCAAAAACATGGGAAACATGCCATGTGATTGCGTTTCTAGAAGGTCCGCAGGGGCATGCCGCACGTGGCATCTCCTCCTGGGGCCTGGTTGGTAATAGTGTGCACATGATTCTGGTCGGGTTCTAATAATTGCACAGCGTGTGGGGCAGAGACCGTTGTGCAGTGTGGTGCATGTGCGGGTCTATGAACACTGGCCCCGGGGAGCCCTCGGGCTACCTCTGCTGACCATCCTACAAAGGCAACTTGATGGTAACGGGAGGGAAGGATGACATAGCTCAGTGGAAACTTACTGTTTAATGTGCAACTTTCAAAACACACCCTCCGTTCCAGTCAGAACAGGACGGGGCCTCCTCATGCCAGCCTCCTCTCACTGACCTCTGTGGGCTGGTCAGGCTGCTGGATTAAAATGCTGCAGGCTGGCTGGCTTAGAAACAACCGAAATTCGCTTCTCGTTCCAGAGGCTGAACGCCTGGAGGGTGCCACCTGGTGTCGTCTGCCGGGGGCCACTTCCTGGTTCATAACCATTACCCTCTCACTGTGTGCGCATGCAGTGGCGGGGAGGGGGCCTCCCATGAGGGCACTGACCCTGTTCTTAGGCTCCATCCTCATCACCTCATCACCTCCCAAAGGCCTCACCTTGTAATACCATCACCTGGATATTAGGATTCAGTGTATGAACTTGGGGGGCAGTCCCTCAGACCCAGTGCAGCCTGTGGGGGTGCCATGTGGAGAGCAGGAGGAGGGTGTCTCACTGCTTCCCCCAGGTCAAGTCCATGTCAGGAAAGCAGTTTGGGTGTTTGTTTGTTTTCTCTTTTATTAAACTTTTTTTTATTGATTTCAGAGAGGGACAGAGAGATAGAAACATCAGTGATGAGAGAGAATTATCGAGCACCTGCCTCCTGCACATCCCTCAATGGGCATCAAGCCCGTAACCCAGGCATGTGCCCTGACTGGGATCAAACCCTGACTTCCTGGTTCATGAGTTGACATTCAATCACTGAGCCATGCTGGCCGGGGGGTTTGTTTTTGTTTTTTTTCTTTCTCGTTGATTACTGACATTTTACTAATGGGAAACAGGTACAAGCAGGGTTACATTTATAGGTTATTTTGTTTGCTTTTTCACACTCTAACTAAATTTAGTGTTGGTAATTGCTAATCCTAGCATGATGTTGTACTGTAGGAGCTCCCACCCAGGGAAGCCAATGGCGAGTGGTGGAGGGGGGATTCCCACCTTAGACAGGTGGGCTAGGGGCTTATCTAGCAGAGGGGAGAGGGTAGGGAGCCGTGCTGGGGAGGCCCGTGTGCAGGCCAAGACCAGATAGGGAGTCTGGTGAGGCTTGTTAGTGGGAAACACTCGGGTCTTAGCTGCTCTGCTCCTTGTGGTCGCTGGCCAGATGGACACCATTCCACTGACTAGGAGGGAGAATTGGGCCATACCCTCGCTTAACCCTAAATTCCACCCCACTATCACCCACTCTACCTCACAGTCTACGCACCAGTCTTCCAGTAGCAGACCTGTGTGGTTAGGGCATTAGCACATTGCATTCAAGCCCTGGATGCAGTATTGTCTAGAAGCTCAGAGTAATAGCAAGAACAAGAGGAAGAGACCCACAACCCTAACGGGGGGGGAGATGGCCCCCACAGGTCCTGCATCCCTGTTCCCCTGAGGGAAGGGAACGCACCCACCCGGAAGCTGTCCTGCTTTCCCAGAGGTGGGGCGTGCCGTTCCACAGGTGCAGGTGGCTCCCTCAGCCAGGGTGAGTGGCTCGTCTTCCAACGCAGACCAGCAGTAGCAGGCTCTGTCTGCACCCCGAGCCACAGAGCCACAGTGCAGCCCATCTTGCATGTACTAAGGAGGCTAAGACAAGTGTCAAGTAGGCCCCAACGGAAGTAAGTCAGGAAAAATACCAATATTCCCAGTTATACCGCCTGTAGGAGAAAACCTCCCCCATGGGGCTAGGAGAGCACACCACAGGTACCAGTTTGAGCCTCCCAGGCCAGGTTAATACTCGAGCTCCAGTTCAGAGGCGCTGCCTCATTTGTTTTCATTGTTGGACTGACTACATTTTAGAGGGAGTCTTGGTCCCACCAGGTGGCGGCTGGATTGCAGCATTGTTGTGGTAAAGGCATGTGAGGGCTACAGCAGCTTTACTGAGACCTGACTCACTCACCATGCAGTTCACCTGGTCCAGGTGGTTTCAGCACATTCACCGCCAGCCCCATGCACCACGGAACATTTTCACCACCTGCAACCTCTGACACCACACGCTGACAGTGCTCCCTGCCTTCCGTCTGCGTAACACACTCGCTCTGCACACTTCCCGTAAACCACGTCAGGTGCTGCGGCCTCTGGTGGTGGCTTGTTCAGCACGTCTGTTTCCAAGGGCCCTCCACGTTGTAAGGTGCTACTGCCTCACCCCTTTTCAGCCAGGCTTCCTGTCGGGCAGCCCCGCAAGCCCACCAGTGGGCTCGTGGGGTTGTCCTTGGGAGTTTCTATCACCACAGCACCCGGACAGAAACGTGTGCTGTGGGTGGAGGAAGAGGCCGGGAACGTAAGAGTGGGAAGTGCCGGGGCCTGTGAGCGGGGCCGGGGAGAAGGCCTGCTATAAAGGGAAGCAGAGGACACCTCTAGAAGAGCAAGTCCCAGGACGGTGGGAGCTCCTGCATGGGCCCCTCGTCCCAGCACCATTGAATGTGAAGCCTCCCTGGCCCCTGGCGGCCTGGCGCCTCGTGGAGAATGAGTTCATCAGACGGGCGGTTTCTTCCCACGGTGCAAATCTGCATGGCCTTGGATTAGACAATGGTTTCCTAGATAAGACACCAAAGCACGGGCAGCAACATAAAAAAATATAGAATTCATGAGAAGTAAAAACGTGTGCTCCACCCTAGCTGGTTTTGCTCAGTGGCTAGAGCGTTGGCCTGTAGACCAAAGGGTTCTAGTTTCAGTTCTGGCCAAGGAGATATGCCTTACCCAAAGGGCTCACGCTCGAGGCAACCAGTCAATGTGTTTCTCTCACATCAATGTTTCTCTTAGTCTTCCCCTTTCTCTTCCACTTTCCCTGAAAATCAATGGGAAAATATCCTCAGGTGAAGATGAACCAAAAAAAAAGAAAGTAAATGGAATTAGTTGGGGGGCGGGCATTTTATGCTATTTACTAAAAATATCCTTTTACACTCCTATTGATTATATATTCCTGTAGATTATACTTTTCATATAGCTCTGCATTTCTCCTATAGATGGTTGGGTTTTCTTGTTCTTTCATTGCTTAGGCCAGTTGATATTAGTCAGCAGAGCCAAATATCAACAGCACAACGATGGAAATTTCTTTTGAGAGCCAATTTTTTTTAAACTTAAACTATTTATAATGCCACTTCTTCAAATAGACTCGCCCAGGCCGTGGTATTTTGCCAAAGAGCCGCATGTGGCTCGCAGTTTGCCGACCACAGGTTTAGGCTATCCATATCAAAAATTTTAAAATGCTTACAACATTGCTTAGAGTTCTCTGCCATCCTCACTCTTGGGATTTTTCTGGGTGTATATTTCTAATAGCAGGTGGTCCTGAAGCCCAGCATCCCCCCACAGAGGGGTGTCCTGGGCACGAACACTGCTCCTGATGCCTGTGTCTGTGAGACGCATCGTCGTGGGCCCAGGTCCTGTGCACCCGCCCAGATACCAGACGCCGCTGCTCAGCTTGGGTTTATTGTTCTTCGACGCCGTGACAGCCTCCAGGCTGGCCTGGATCTGCCATGCGTCTTCCTCAGGGCTCACCTTCCTACCACTTAATTTCCGCGGCGAACTGCGGACGCCGCCCGGCATTGGATTTTTGAGCATGAATTCCCAGCAGGCGCCTTTCTCTCCACCTGGAGCCGTGTGCTGGTTGTGGGGTCTGTGCCCAACAGATTGTCCCTCACACTCACCTCATCTGCCTCGAGGACGCACGCTTCATAACTCACTGTGTGAGAGCCTCTGCAGTTTCATGTGCCATAGTTCTTTCTGTGAAGTCAAGCCCCACACCTGCTCAGTTAACAGTAATAAAATACACTTCAAGTAAGGGGAGCTTTGACTTTGCTCGACTCTCCTGAAACACGCCCCAATGCGGTGGTTCTCACACAGGGCAATGACAGGCAATAAGAAGGCATTTGACTGCCTGAATTCGTCTGAAGGAAATGTGTCACCTCCTTCCAGAATGTGTCAGCTTCCAGTCTGATTCCTGTAGAGACAGGGTGGCTAGATGGCCCTCCTCACTGGAGCTCAAGTGGCTGCCCGTTCTATGCCATGGTGAGGAGTGACGCCCACGGGTGACTGCTGGCGGCTCGGGCTGCGGTGGGCCGAAGGCGCCGTCTTGAGGGGCCTTGGCCTCGGGGACAGTGAATGCTTCTCATTCCTCCCTTTAAACCACATTCCAGGTAGGAGAATTTGGGGTTTCAGTCTTCCTTCCAACAGTGAAGTTTATGTAAATTCTATCTCAGTGAAGCTATTTAAAAGAACGATGTATAAACAAAACTAGTAACAAAACGAGTCCTTCGAGGAGGATGGTTCCCTGTGGTGGTTCCGCATGTTTGAGACTGGCTACTTTTCTCATGTACTCCTCGGGGAGTGCTGGCTTCTGAGCGTCCCTGATGATTATCTGATCACAAATGGTTAGACGTCCCCACGTGTCAGCCCATCAGGCCTGAGTGAGTGAATGGCTAACGCTAACAGTGGTGTGCTGATCTCTAAATCTCTAAGAGGAGAAACTGTACTGATGGATTATGGTATTTATTGGGCCATAATGTATTTAAATTTCCCTAATGCA